AAAACTCCATGTGGATCTCTGAAAAAAGAGCTTTTATAAGGGCTGAACTCGAAACACCCTAAAATTTCATGCTCCCGAAAAAAAAACAACAGCGAGAAACCTTAAAACTTCTGACTGATTTTTGAAAGGTTTTTGGCAGCAGGGACTTTGAGAATGTAAGTTGTGTAAAAAGCAAAGGTATTCTTGGAATGCGAGGTCCAAAACGAACACATTATAATCAAAAAGTATTCTTGGAATGCCAGGTCCAAAACGAACACATTATAATCATCAGGTCAATCATAACACAAGGACTGTCTTTATTTAACACCAGGGTAGATCCCCTTAAGGGTCCGCACAGGACAATTCTTACTACGGGATCTCTGAATTCTCCTTGGTATGGTACCACCGTGGAGTTATTTCCCGAGTTCCCACGATCTCGAATTTAATTGAATTGTCTCCTGAAGGTTCAGGTCCTTCCGTGAGTACCTTCTCAGGCAATCTAGTGCTGCGTGGATTCTCAAGTCTCGGGCTCGCTATTGACATCGAGCACAGTAACTCCCGGCCTGCGAAACCCTAAACCCTAAACCCTAAACCTTGAAATCGAGATTCATCTTTGCAGTGGGTTTAGGAGCAGGGGGCTCTGAGAAAGTAAGCGGAGAAAATGCTGGGGATCGAAGAAGGCCATTGTGCACACCGCAGTCTGCTGAGCCACGGTTCAACTTCCCCCCTTGAGACGTGCCGTATAGCAAGCAGCCACAGGGGGACTCTGAAATCAATGGCGTTGTAGTTGGTTCTGAATATCTGCATGGCCCCGTTCTTGGTACTGTCCTCCCCCGAACATAATACAGTAATTCACCTTCATCATCACTGTATCACACTGGAAAGATAGCATGTATACATTCATGATCAGGGTGCGTTGTGTTCGGGGGAAGGCAAGGGGAGACGGTAGTACACATGTGAAGAGAATCTATGGCAGCAGGGGTTTTGGGATCACAGCGAAGTTCCAGTCAATCAAAGGAAGGGGTCCTCTTTTTTTATTATTTTAAATGAGGTTCGCTTAAGCAACCCCGAAATCTGACCTATTTAAAGTTTGGGGCCAAGTTTGATCGTACTCTTTGGTGTCCGTGATGATGATTGAACTGATTGATCGACAAAGATGAAAGAAATCTGCGGTAGCACTCGTATCTGTGCTAGTGCGATATGTGTGCTACGAAAAAAAAAAGTGTGCTAGCGCAGATTTCTTTTGTCTTTGTCGAGGCCAAGTTTGATCGTACTCTTTGGTGTCGTGATGATGACTGAACTGATTGAACTGATTGGGCATAAATCCTGCATCAGCTCACATTACCGTGTACTACATACGTCTTTCTCCGCGGAGATGTCCGTGATGATGATTGAAGGCATTGATTGGTTCGATTGATATATTCCAATAATAGAGAGAGGAGGATTTATGCCCAATCCTATCCTTGACGATTGAAGTCGTTGATTTGACCACTGTTTATCTACAAACAGAGAGGAGGAGGATTCACCCCCAATCAGCTCCTGCCCCCTACCGTCTTCACCCGAATAGAACGCCCGGCAATTATCGCCGTATCTGGGCTGAAAGCTGTGCCGAATACAGATATAATGACCGGGCGTTCTATTCGGGTGACGACGGTAGTCATGCTGTCTACTTTGACCATAGTTCCCACTCGAACACCGTTTTCCCTCAGTTCCTCTTCAACTCCCGCCCGAGGAAAACCGTATCCAGCGTTTGTCCTATAATGAAGCAACAAATACCGTTGTGTTCAACAAATTTATCGGAAATGGAAATGGAAATGATTTCCAACGGAAATCTTGTGTTTCTTGAACTTCGTTCCTTGTGTGGAGGGATCATTTCCTTATCCAAGCTCAGTTGGTACACCCTTGAGCTGTTGCCGTTGAAGGATGAACCAGACCCAAGTTCGAATCCAGATCCTCCTCATCCAAGAATATTATTTATTGTGTGATGAATGGATATATTCCTTGTCCAAAACTTCCTGTGTGAACGACTAATTCATTCCTTCGACAAGTTTTTTTTTTTTTTTTTTTTTTTTGGCTCAARAAATTYTTGTGCTGACAGATAATTCCTTCTCCAAGAATTCACGTGATATTCCTTGCTCTCAGGAGTGAGCGCAAATTATCTGTCATAAGAGAAATGTCCACCGGAAACCGTTTACAGCTTCTTGCCAAAAAAAGAAACGAAAAATTGCATCGCCTAACAAGGATATATCATCATTCATCATTCATTCGTTAGAACTTGGAAAGGATGAGTGGGGGTTCAAATCCCACTTCTACCACACAAACAAAAGGGGAAAAAAAAAAAGAGGGAAAGAGGAAAAAAGAAAGCATGTCCATCCAGCGTTCACACTCTTTCAGAGATCCATGTTTACAAAACTTTACATACATTCATGAGCAGGTGCCGCTGAAAGCCTAGTCTGAAAAGCAGCTCCACAGTTACAGCTCTGTTTTCTTTTTTTTTGTTGTGTTTTTAGGTTTTGGGTATCTTTGCTTGTTTCTTGAACAGAGGGAGACGAAGAGAGGGTGGTGCTGTGATGTAAGCTGTCGACAAAACCGACACCATTTTTTGTTATCCGCAATACTGCAGAAGAGTACGGACACCAAGTTCAATCAAATTCTTCGCTCTTCAGTCAAGTCAAATTCGAATGTCGAAGTCTTTCTTTCCCTTGGCAAGTACAATCTTTTTTATTCTAGGAATTCAAAAAAAAAAAAAAAAGGCTCTTTCCAAGAAATAAGGATCTTGGTGAATGTTTTGTAGTAGTTCACGTGTTTTTTTGTAGTAAAGAACCGTATGTCTTTTTTTTTTTCCCTTTTTTTTAAAAAAAAAGGGCGACAGCCTTGAGATATTATCATTGAGGTGATCGGCCCCAAGCAATTCATTAGTAGTCGGTTTTACTTGTCAAGTTTCATCATCTGGATTCGAGCACAGGTCTGTATTTGAACAGTTAATTGGTGTACCCACTGAGCTAGGCTCTTGGGTAAGAACCGTATTTCTTGATTTTGGGCCAAATTGTAAGAAGAAACAATGTACCCAAATCATCACGAGGGTGGCTGAATGTACACACACACACACACACACACACACACACACACAGACACGTTGTTGTTGGTGAACAGATTATGAGAGCGAGGAAGGATGTGATCCGATGAGAATGATAATTTTCGAGCCAGTAAGGGTTGTATCCTCTTTTAAACGAAAGAGCAAAGGAAGAAGCAATGCAAGTCTAAGAGCAAATGACTTGCCGGCATTGCCCTGTGCTTTTATACGGTCCGTGAGCGTGATTGTTTTGCTATAGGACTTTTCTTCTTGAGGGAGGACATTGCTGTACAATGTGGATGAGAAGTGAACTAACTTCTTCTTTAATTGTGCTACCTACTACCCCCTGTCCGTTGCTGCCTGCTCGCTTCGGAGAGGAAAACAGTTGGATAAAGGTGCTGTTTCATGCCTGTGGTCCCCCCCGGCCCCCTGGCTGCCTCTGGTCTTCTGCCGCTGGCATTGCAAACGCAGCTCTTGTTTTTTTTTTTTAATCTTTTTGGGAGTTTTTTGCTAACCCCTGCTGTGGGTGCGGTTTTCTGAAGCTGCTGGCTGAGGTGGTTGTACTGATGCTGCTGTTGGTTTCAATCGTAGATCAAAGTTGCTGCTGGTGTTGCTTTCCTGCAGTGCGGAGACTGCTCTTCGACTTCTGAATTCGGCTGTTGCAGCTGTTTTTTTTATTATTTTTTTTATTTTTTATTTTTTTTATTTGGACCATTTCTCGATGTATGCGTGTCATCCTTGCGCAGGGGCCATGCTAATCTTCTCTGTATCGTTCCAATTTTAACGGATGTCCCGAAGGACAGCAGCTGTTTTTTTTCTTTTTTGCTGTAAATCAATTTCTTAACTTGTGCACATCGGCCTTGCAGAGCGGCCTTCCTGATGTTCTCCTTTCCAGTTTAACGGATATCCCAAGGGTTTTGCTGCAGCTGCTGTTTTATTTTTGCGCTCTGCAGCTTCTGCTGCAAGTGTTCTTCGTTGTCGCTGCTTCCACTGGAGCTGCAATTATGTTGTTACGTTCACAAACTGCTGACGTTGGCAATTCCTATTGGTGTTGGTTGCTATCGGTGCTATGACCCACAGCTACTGATTTCTGCTTGAGCTGTTGTTGTTTTTTTTTTTCAAGAAAATTTGGACCATTCTCGTGCTTCAGCTAGACTTTTTTCTTTTCTTTTTTAATTTAAGAAAGCTACAGTTTTATTATATGAACAATCAATTTGAGATGTTGAGGAATTCCTCAACATCTCAAACTGGACAGTGCTGTGCCCATTACCCAGGTTTGACTTGTGCCGGAAACTGGGTCCAGCATCCCAATATCTGCAACTTCAACGAAAAAACAAACAAAAAACTGGACAATTAAGATATAAACAAAATTAACTCCACCCATTATACATGCAGGGACATTTCTGGCTGATGTCCAAGTCGTGCTTCAGCTGTTTGTTTTTCCATCTTGTTGAAAATTGTTCCTTTTTTTTTTTTTTTTTTTTTTGGCTCCTGCTATTACTCCTGGTTGTTCTTATTACTCCTCTAAGTGTTGCCATTACTCCTGGTTGTCGCTATTGTACCCCTGGTTGTCGTTATTGTACCCCTGGTTGTCGCTATTGTACCCCTGGTTGTCGCTATTGTACCCCTGGTTGTCGCTATTGTACCCGTGGTTGTTGCTATTGTACACGTGGTTGTCGCTATTGTACCCCTGGTTGTCGTTATTGTACTCCTGGTTGTCGCTATTGTACCCCTGGTTGTCGTTATTGTACTCCTGGTTGTTGGTGTTGCCACTGGTAGGCAGTGTAGTGTTCGTGCTGCTTGTAAAAACATAACTGTTTTTTTGTTGTTCCCCCTCTTACCCACCTCACCCAACCAGTAAAGCACTGACTTTTCCTTGTTTTTTTTTGGAAGACTTATTCCCCATGGACAGCTTCTAAAAACTTATGCGGAACTGTCAAGGCATAGGATTAAAAACTTAGAACTTTGTTTTAATGCACCGACTGTGTCTTTTCCTTTGTGGCTTTCTTTCTTTTATCCAGCGTGTGTAATGATGAGTGAAGAGAATCCATTGCCACTTCCTCCAGGGTGGACAATGGACAGCACCCCGCGAGCTGTAAAGAGGGAGAAACAGTCCAAGAAGGCTCTGTCTATGGGAGCATCTCCTTGTTCTGGTGGTGCCCCCTTTGAATCACCAGACATGAGCATGGAGGGTCCAAGCAGCAGGGAATTTAGTCGATGGAGGGCATGCCATGTGACCACCCAATCTTCATCCTCCCTCGGTGAGAGCTTTGATGGCGATGGCGATGGCGATGAGGATGGTGCTCACTTGCGAGCTCTTAGTATGGAGAACATGATCGTCCTGGGCAGTCGCAGTAAGAACCAGTTGGCGGTGGCCGAGTCGCCGGGCGCCGACGAGAGCCTGTACGGCGGCGGCGGAGGGCTAAGTTGCGAACGGAAGGAGGTGAAATGTTCTATCTGTAGGGAACGTGTTGGGAGAGACGAGGAAGGGGAGCCGTTTGTCCCTTGCGAGTGTGCTTTTATCATCTGCAAGCCTTGTTATGAGTACGTTCGAGAGCATGAGGGTGGGCGCTGCCCCCAGTGCCAGGAGCCATACAGAAAGTTGAAGCCACAGAGAGCAGGTCGTTGTGTTGGTAGGGGTGGTGGTATGGGAGATGGACACCAAACTTACTCCTCTTCCTTGGCTGGTGAGGACAACAACGTCAGTGGAGCCAATGAAAAGCGGACACAGACTGCCAGCGGTCTCCGGAGACCGTTGCAGGTTGGCAGCCCTGTCTCTATCAGCTCTAACGTACAAGATGCATATGTTTCAGAACCAGAGTCGTTGAAGTCACTGGGAGCCATAGGGAGATCAACAGCCCCACGTCACCGTAAACTTTGTGCTTCCAATGAGCAGGAAGAGGAGGAAGAAGAGGAGGAGGGAGAAGAAGTGGGACAGGGACAACGGGAGGAAGGGCAGGAGGAAGAGTCTGCTCTACGTGGTGATATGACTGTTGTTCCGCTGAGTATAAGTGCTTCCCCATTGATGCCGGACTCTCTTGCCAAAGTCCTCCTCTCCTTTCAGACGCTAGATCCTAATAAAACCATGCTTGACTATGGTTATGGCAGCATTCACTGGATAGAGTCTGCGAAAGGCGGCAAAGGTGGTGGTGGGGGAGGTGGTGATGGTGGTGGTGGTGATGCTCATGCAGCCGAGGCGGCCGGAAAGCATTGTCATCAAAAGCCCATTCTTGTTGACGACACCAAACGACCGTTGTCCAGAGTCATCCCCGTCGCTGCCGCTCTCATCAATCCGTACAGGTTCATGGTTGTTGTGCGCTTCATCACCCTTGCCTTCTTCCTCCACTACCGGATTCAGACTCCCAACCCGGATGCCTATGTTCTCTGGTTGGCATCCGTATCGTGCGAAATCTGGTTTGGGATCAGCTGGGTGCTGGACCAGGTTCCAAAATGGTCGCCGATCACTCGAGAGACGTACCTGGACCGGCTAAGTCTGAAGTATGAGAAAGAGGGGGAACCAAACAAGCTGCTACCTGTAGATGTCTTCGTATCGACAGCGGACCCTGAAAAGGAGCCTCCTTTGGTGACGGCCAATGTGGTCCTCTCCGTTCTGGCCATGGATTACCCTGTGGACAAGCTTGCCTGTTACCTGTCAGACGATGGTGCGGCCATGCTGACATTTGAGACGCTGACAGAGACAGCAAGCTTTGCGCGAGCCTGGGTTCCATTCTGTAAGAAGTATGACATAGAGCCGAGAGCGCCAGAGGTGTACTTTCAACAGAAAATAGATTACACGAAGGGGAAGACGCAGCCAGATTTCATCAAGGAAAGAAGACACATGAAGCGTGCCTATGACGAGTTCAAGGTCAGGATCAATGCGCTTGTAGAGAAGTCGAAGAATGTGCCCCCCGATGGATGGAAAATGGCGGACGGCTCACCGTGGCCTGGAAATGTCAGAAATGACCATGTGGGGATGATTCAGGTCTTCCTTCAGCCCGATGGAGATACAAAGGTAAGTAACCAACAAGCCTAGCTCAGTCGGTACACACATGGACTGTTGAAATAAAGGCCTGCGTTCGACTCCAGATGGAACTAGATGATGAAATCCAGTAAGTCTTAAAACAAAAACAAAAAAAAACGGACAAACAGAGGTAATTACCAAGTGCCTTTTGGAAATTAGAGAAAAAAAAAAAAAAAACACCAAGTGCCTTTGGGACGAACACCACTACCAACTCCCCCAACGGAATTGAAGTACCAGTATACTACGATCTAGGTAAGGAAGTGCCTTCAGATGGACACTAACTGCTAAATCACTTTCCGAACGGATTGAATGTGGCAGTGTAGTCTGTTCTTGCATGTTGCTTCACGCCGACCTTCTCTGGACGGACCCTCAATCGCTCTGCCAATGCGTTGGTCTCATGGCCTGTACTCTATACGCTTTGTAGTGCTCCTCCCTGCCTTCTTGCACTTTGTTGCTTGTTCCCTCAAGTGCACATCAGCACAGTTGCTTGTGCTTCCTCAGCCACCGCACGTCTAGGTTGAGGCTTTTTTCCGTCTCCATCTCAGTGCTAGGACCACTGGGAAATGCTGCTGTAAGGGATGCTTGAGATCAAGCGTTCTTTGTTTTCCTTTGTGTTTTTTTTTTTTTTGTCAATGTCCTTCGGGACATCCGTTAAAATTGGAACGATACAGAGAAGGAAGATTAGCATGGCCCCTGCGCAAGGATGACACGCAGAAATCGAGAAATGGTCCAAATTATTTATTAAAAAAAAGAAGAAGAATGCATGACTGGGAAATACTACTCTAAGAGGTCGCTGAGCCCTGGTGTTATATCTACAACAGCTGTGACTTCAAGTACAACCGAACCCTCAAAGAGAACCAACTCGCTATCCCATGGGGCTCTGTGAATCACACACAAGGGGTGGTTTCCTTCTTCAATGGAGAGGCTGAACCTTCGACCATATGCTCGCTATCTCCAGGCAAAGGCAGCACTCACCAACTTCCAACTTCATCTCGTCTCCTTCTGGTTGTGCATGTGTGTTGTCGTGCCCACTATACACGACTCCACAACAGAAAAAAAAAAAAAAAAAAAAAGCATGACTGTGCCAGTGTGCCGAACAGACTGTTTTGTTGGACTTTCACCGACTCGTCAGGAGGTTGAACCTAACCGACAGTCTGCCCAGGATGCAATTGACCGTTGGATTAGGACTGTGTGGGTCCTCCTTTTTTTGTCTTTTGGAAACCAGTAGTAAGTATCACTTACGTAGTTTATCACCAGCTTTATTTAGAGTAACGCCGAGTCCACTTCTCAACAAACCTTGACCACTTTTTACGGCCTGTTTGGATTTTCGCAGCCAGGTTGGACTTTTTATTTCCCAGGTTTGGGCCTGTCAGGGCAGCAGCCTAAATTGACGGAACCCAAGCCCTGCACCTAAGCTGGGTAATTGTCCCAGTACTTTGTTTTCGGGGTGGTTGTTTGTTGAGAAATTCCCGGCCTCCCCCTTTTTAATGTGAAAAAAGGAAAAAAAGGAAAAAAAGAAAAAAAGGAAAAAAAGGAAAAAAAGGAAAAAAAGGAAAAAAAGAAGATTGACCATGGTGAAGTTGGAGAGCCACGACATGCCGCGGGGCCAAGTCCCACTTACGCTGATCGTTCATTCTTGGCCGTTGATCTTCCTAATCTATGGTCGGAAATTGAGAATTCGGGTAAGTGGGACTTGGCCCCCGGCTGTTTATTGCTCTGCGTTTTATTGGACGAAAAATTCGAAAATAAAATCTCCGTTTGTTTATTATTCCTTGTTTTTTATTGAGCTTGTCGTGGTGAGTAGAGAGGGCCCTACCGCATGCTCTAAGTGAACGATTCATACTCTCCGTTTTTGGCAGCTCGTTTGTTTCCTTTTTCTTTTTCTTTGTTTTTTTTGTTTTTTGCAGATGACGTGTAGCAGCAGTACCGCACAGTCACACTTGTACCATACGGGCCTGTACTATGGTACTGCACAGTCACACTTGTAGCATACGGCCTGTACTATGTATCTGACCATAGCGCCTGCACTACCTATCTGACCATAGGGCCTGTACTATGTATCTGACCATAATTGCGGGCAGGTGTATCCATAATCGTAGCCATGTTCAGTCAACATATTTCAAAAATGACTATCTCCTCAGGTAGTCTGTCGCCACGACATCCATTCACAAACGGACATTTGGATTGAACGTTCACAATTGCATGTGTAGACTGTGATAACTTCAACGTTGATAAACTAAACCTTCGCATGACTCATCTTGTGACAAGCTTGCTTTTTCTATCTTTATCAGCACAGTCAGCCTTAGTGCATCTTTGGACACTTTATTTGCATATATATTTTATATATATACGGTTTACCGGGCAGTTCTATTTGACGATATATATATATAACATATATATATCGTCAAACAGAGCTGCCCGGTAAGCCGTAGGCAGAGAGGGACAAGAGGGAGAAGCGGACCACAAACGAGGGGCTATGACAAACTGTTTCATCGGAGTTTTACCGACTCATCAGGATATTGACGATATATATATATATATATATATATATATATATATATTACTACTTAGCACTATTCTTGAGGGGGTGAAAGTGGAATGCTTCCAGATCATGGAAAGCTTATGCCCTTTTGCACCCAGCTCTCTTCCTCTTCGCACTCTTCTGTCAACAGTCTCAACCACAGTCTTGTGCTGCTGCCATCCTACTTCTCGCTACTTATCACAGTGCAGTGTGCCCCTCCCCCTCTTCCTTCCCCTCCACCCCTGCTTCCCTCCCACTCGCAAAAGATTGTTTTAATCCTTGAATGCATCACCTGGCGGGGGTTGTTCTTCGCTTTGCTGCCACTTCGCCCGAAGTGACTCTGCTGTTTTGGGGGAGCTTATCCACGTATTGATGCATGTGGTCAACCTGCACTGCATGGAACAGGTGTTCCTTGTACACCTGTCTTCTCCAGTTTCAGACTGCCATGAACCTACCTGGTATTCTGACCACAGGGGGGCTTGGTGGGCCCACAGAACAGGTGTTCAGAATATATTCTTCTCTCCATTTTCCGATTCATCGCCACAGAACAGGGGTCCATTTTTTTTTAATTTTTTTTTTTTTAACACAAAAGATGTCTCTTTTATTTCAACAAAAACCGAGGCCGGGAATCCCTCGACAAACAACCCGGAAAAAGCTGGGACCATTACCCAGTATGGGTTTAGGTGGTGGACCAGAAAAAGTCCAGAAGTAGAAGCTGGCCAAAACAGGACCGCTACCCTGGCTGAAGGACCACCCCTGGGGTCCATATTTTTCCCATAGTGAGCTAAGGGGAGTCAGAAAAAAAAAAGACAGCAAAAAGAAGTTAAAAGAACAGGTGTTCATGAGCTAAGGGGAGTCAGAAAGAAAAAAAAAGGACAGCAAAAAGACGTTAAAAGAACAGGTGTTCATGTATACCTCTCTCCAGAAGTTCTGGATCGACACGAATGCAGCTGGCATTCTGAGGACGTACTCACACTGGGGCTTTATCTTTTTTTTCAACTTATCTCTGGACGCAATTGGAGTCAGATACGTCCAAGATGGGCCACAAAAGTGGTCAGATACGTCCGCTGAAGTCGCAGTGTGAGCATGCTCTTATCAAAGGAAACTCCGGCATTATTTTGAGGCATGTATATTTTTGTGCAACGATTTTTATTTTTTTTTCTGACGCTGTTTGCTGGTGATCCCTAGACTAGCTGGACATTCACGGCTCTCTCTCCTTATATCCATTAGGGACGATTAGGACATGTTTCCTAGGGAGGAAACAGTCAAATAGCTCCTCTTGCTCATTTTTAGCTTACCATAATAAATTTAATAATAAAATAATATGCCTCAGGTAATGAATGCATCCGCTTTCGATGAGCTCATCCACTTGCTTTGGTGTTTTATTCTGTTTGACTGCTAGCCATTGCCAAGACCAGGTACTAGTCAGACATTGTATTGTAGGGCCTCTTTTTTTTTTCTTTTTTTTTTTGAGAGAAAATGCCCCCGCCAGTGTTAGTGCTGCTGATAAGTGTAGACACCACTAACACCAGGAGGGAGGCTCCATGTATTGGTGGGCCTCAGGAAAGGAAACTCTGGCATTTCCTCCAATAGGGAATATGCTCTCTTGCTGGAACAGCCGACATTCTTTTTTTTAACCGTCTTGTCTATACTATTCCCTTTTTTTTCCCTTTTTTATCGTTTTTCTCGAAACGACAGTTGAACGGCCTTTCCTCGAGCTTTGTCATCATTCAATTCTTTGTCTTTTAAGTTTTAACCCGTAAAGGAGAGGGTATAATAGGTATCAACTTATCAATCCATCGCATTGGGCTGAATGGTACGAATCTGTAACTAACTGTTGGTAAAAAGATCACGAGTTCAAATCATCATTGAATCGAATCGGCACAATAATGTACGAACCTCTTAGGGGCTACCCCCCTTCAAAAACAAAAAAAGGACGATAATGAGGGGTTGTTAACTTATTATCTCTTTGTTATTGCTTTGTTTATTATCTCTTTGTTGTTGCTTTGTGCCCACCTTACGGAAACAGTTTCACTAGGTCGATCTCGTGCAGCACAGGGATTGAATTTATTGATTTGGTGGAGATAGGTAAAGCTTCTGGCCACAAGATGCTACTCTGTGCTGCATTTGCAAAAAAAATGCAAGGCCGTAATTGTCCATGGATGGCGAGGTGTAGTCCTTGCTAGTTTAATCAAACGGAAAGCAACATGTGCGTGTTTCAGGATTGGGCCATGCCATGTCCTTCTTGTGTGTGACCACGTGTGCATGCAGTAAAAAAAAAACTCTGCTCAGTCGAGAGAGCCCACGCCGTCTCTCTTTTCTCTCTACCGAATTGTTAACTCGTTCCTTCTCTCTTGAGCTGCCTCGCTTCTGCCTTCTGCTATTCGAACTGGTCCCCAGCCACCCTTGCAAGTTGCTACTACACTCGCCTACTGCACTTGTATCCTTCTTAGGAGGTTTGGCTGGTGTGCAATGGAACTCAATCACTCGTTGTTGCCTTGGTTTCTCTCTCTCCCTTTGCAGGATATCAATGGGGAACCAATGCCAAGGCTTGTTTATGTTTCCAGAGAGAAAAGGCCTGGGTACGATCACAACAAGAAGGCCGGGGCCATGAATGCGCTGATGCGGTCTAGCGCTCTGATCACCAACGGTCCATTCATTTTGAACTTAGACTGCGATCACTATGTGCATAACGCGAGAGCAATCAGGGAGGCAATGTGCTTTTTGATGGACTTCAAGAATGGAAACCAGGTGTGCTATGTGCAGTTTCCACAACGGTTTGACGGAGTGGACCGGAATGACAGGTATGCTAATCATAACGCCGTATTCTTCGATATCAATATGAAAGCTTTAGATGGTTTGCAGGGCCCGATGTACGTGGGCACAGGGTGTGTTTTTCGCAGGCAGGCACTATACGGCTTCTGTCCCCCGGAGCGAGCAACTCTGGAAGCTGCAGCTGCAGCAGGAGCAAAGGTGGAAGGGGATGAGGCAGAGACGGGTGGCGGTGGACGTTGCTGTGGCACCCTCTGCAGCTGCTGCTGCTTGGGAGGAAGCCGCGGTCAGCAAACCACAAAGCGCCAAGAAGCAAAACGGCTCTTAACGGCAGTTATACCGGGAGACAGGCAGGATGAGGAGCAGCAACTCGTCCCCACGCAATGGCATGCTTCTCGCTTTGGCATGTGTCCAAACTTTGTGGCAACTGTCGTCGATGCCGAAGGCGGGGTCCCTGATGTTGATCCCTATCAAGTACTTAGTGATGTAATCCTTGTCATATCCTGCGGGTACGAGGATGACACGGAGTGGGGTCGTTCTGTTGGATGGATGTATGGATCCGTCACCGAAGACATCGTCACGGGGCTCATGATGCATATTAATGGCTGGCATTCTGTTTATTGCATGCCTAAGCGTGCGGCATTCAAGGGCTCAGCGCCAATCAATCTGACGGACCGTCTCGGGCAAGTTCTGCGCTGGGCGACGGGCTCCGTGGAGATTTTCTTCTCCAAACACAACCCGATCACCAGACACTACTTCAAGCAGTTAATGTTGCTTCAGCGGGTAGCCTACATCAACACCGCTGTGTACCCGTTCACTTCCATAGCCTTGCTTGTGTACTGCTTTCTGCCTGCGATTTGCCTTTTCACCAACCAGTTCATCGTCAATACGATAGACGGACTGGCAGTGCTGTGGTTCCTGATGCTCTTTGTGTCCATCTTTACGACTTCGATATTGGAGATCCGGTGGAGTGGGGTTGCTATTGAGGATTGGTGGAGAAATGAGCAGTTCTGGGTTATAGGCGGAACAAGTGCCCACCTTGCGGCCGTCATTCAAGGAGTCCTCAAGGTCTTGGCAGGAGTGGACACCTCCTTTACCTTGACGCAGAAAGGGAATGACGATGAGGATAATCCCTATGCTGAGCTGTATGCATTCCGGTGGACGTGGCTCATGGTCCCTCCCACGGCCATCATGACCATCAACATCGTTGCCTGTTTCGCCGGCCTCTCAAGGGAGATGTATAAGAGTCCTCAGGAGCAGAACTGGGGGCGGTTACTGGGCATGGTCTTCTTTGCCTTCTGGGTGCTTTCACACCTTTATCCTTTTGCCAAGGGTCTGATGGGTAAGAACAACAAGACTCCGACTATAGTTATTGTTTGGTCTATACTGCTGGCCATTATACTGTCACTCCTGTGGGTGCGTATTGTAGCTTAAACCACCAGTACCTACCGGTTGGGCCAGCTGTTAACGCAGAAGCCGAATCGGCCTGCCCCTCCGGTCCACATTCATTCAAGTCCGGGGGGTACGGAAAATGCAGGAGGTACTGGCGGTTTAAACCACACAAGTGCCTCTGGACGTTGCAGCGGTTAACAAGCCACGGAAACGATGAACGAACGGGTCGCTCCAGGAGCGCCGAAATTCATCGCACTAGAAAAGCTTCTGCCCTTGTTTTTCCCCGAGGCTGATGTATGGGAAAGGTAGTGGTGGTTTACGTTTCTTAACTTATGTGCACTGGGCAGGCCCAGTGCACACACATGCTTGCTGTTTGGCTGGCAAGGTGGCTGGCTAGCCCCTCATCCTCGCCACAGTATGTATGTGTCCTAACGACATCATCAAAGTCGATGGCTTATGTCAGAGGCAATTTTCGCTGTGCTCCTAGTGCCTGTGCGGTTGCACCCTCCCCTAGTGAGAGAGAACGGAGGAAATTTCTCGAAAACATTGCACTTATCTTGAGGCTCAGCCATAGTGCCGCAGCTTATCAATTGTGTGCCAAAGAAACCTCAGCCACTACTGATGTGCTCTTGGTGGTGGTGTCAGGTTATGGCAACCAATGGGGTGAGGTGCTTAGAACTTTGCCAGTTCTTCTGGTGTACAGTGAAAGAGTAGAGAGCATGGGAGGGGGAGGAGGGAGAAGGAGAGAAAGATGGACAGACTGGCAGAGGTCAGAACACTGCTCCATCGTCGTTGACCACGGTAGATAGATGGAGCTGTATTATACTCATTCAGAGCTAAGGTGTGGAGCGAAGCGCGGCTGATCATCTTTTCAAGGAACTGTTGTTGAGCTCGCATTTCGAAAGAACTAGTTTAGCAGATGAAGGAGGACGGAAACGGAGGGTAGTAAAGCAGAGATGCTTTGGGTGGAACCGTTGGCGAGGGACAGAAAGGTAGGAAGATGCGGGCAGAGGTCAAAAGCATTAGCGAGAGGGATTCACGAGGGACATGCGCGGCGAAGGGAAGGCTGAAACCGTTTCTCCTTGCCATGGCCATGAGGGCTAAAGAGAAGGGTGAAATCGTAGTTCATTGCCATGCGCACGAGATGGAAGAAAATGCGCTGCACAACCTGTGCAGAATGGTTCATTGTTCATTGTCATTGCGATGGACATGGGGGCCGAAGTGGAAATGCTCTGCATTGTCCAGTGGCACAATGGTGCTGCGCATCCTGCCAAGCAGGGAGGCAGAGGACAGAACATTGGCCGGTTATTTTCCAGGTCGATCGCTTCAAGAGGGCAATGAGGGGCAAAAAACTGAAGGCGGGTGAAAGTTTGTCCATTTCCATTGGCATCAGAGTGCTATGCATGCATCCTGAGCGACAGAGGTGGGGGATTGCACATCCTCCTCAACTGCCATCTTCACCCGGAGAACACCCGGTCATAATAGCTGTATTTCGCACAAGTTTCAGTCCAGATGCAGCGATAATGGCCGGGCATTCCGTTCGGGTGAAGACGATAGCAGTATATCATGTCCAAGGAACCTGTATCAGATTGACACTCTGAGTGAGTGGCTCCTTGCACAGCGCCGTTCTTATTCAATGCGAATCTTTATTATTTTTCTCATTATTGAGTGGGAAGGATGACAATTTCATCAGAACTTTTTCTGTTGTCATCACCCCAGATGGAGGAATGCACTGCCTACCCTGAGTAGCAGGGAAGGGTGAAGCGTGAGTGATGCCATGCCGCTTGGAACCATTATCAGATTGACAGTCTGAATGAGCGAGGTTCCTGCAATAATGTCATGATATGACGATTATTTGCTCGGCGTGATGGCAGTTGATTAGAAAGAACAGGGGAGAGAAGAAGGCATTTTGATTGCTTACAAGATGGAAGACACTCCTTTGCTCATTTTCTTTCTATTATTTGACTCCGGCTGATAACACTCATAGGTATTATTTCTATGTTATTTTGCTTTCCATTTAGCGAGGATGGCCAAGCTGATGTGTCAACATCTATTAAGAAGAGAATGTATAGGAGACGACCAGCAGCAGCAAGCTGATGGGTCAAGAAGGGAAGGGTTAGAAAGGGAATGTATAGGAGACGGACGACCAGCAGCGGCAGCTCAGATGGGTTCTTTGCCTTCTTGTTGTATGCAAGAAGTTCGTTTCGCTGCGATGTGGAGGGTACGAGATGCCTGTAGTACAAGCGTGTGCTATCTGGTGTGAGAAACGGCGGGAAATTTTAGAAGTGAGTGGGAGAGGAATGTAGGCGTCGGTAAGGTAGGGGTCTCTCTCAAGGAATGTGGAGGAGGAATATAGGAGTATATTGCCTCTCAAAATGCTGGAGCTCATTGCTTGGAGGAGTAGATACTGCAACCGACAAAATGGATATTTAAGATGGGGGCAGGACAGGGCGAGGAAGTGTATGTACACTGGGTAAAGAAGAGAGAGGAATGTAGGAGTCTCTCAAGGAATGTGGAAGAGGAATATATAGGAGTATATTGCCTCTCAAAGGCTGGAGTTCATTGCTCGGAGCAGTGAATACTGCAACCGACAAAATGGATACTTAAGATGGGGGCAGGACAGGGCGAGGAAGTGTATGTACTATGTACACTGGGTGAAACCGAGAGAGAATACGGGAGTTGAGCAGCATCTTGAGATGAATTATTGCCATGTGTGGTGAAGACAAATGCACAAGTTGCATTGTCGATTTCATGTGGAGAGGAAATTCTTCTTCGCATAGAGAACAAGGTTATCTATTCCCAAGTGTTGGGGATCTTTGGTTGTTTGTTTTTTTAATATAATTTTTGGTTGCTCTTATGATAATCCATAGGAGTACTTTCTGTTGGGGGGGTGGGGGGGGAGAAGACGAGAGGCGACTTGTCCACATCGAAGTTCCATTAGCATCTTCCCTTGCATAGAAGGTGCAGGGGCTCGGTGTGTTAATCCGCGACCGCCTGGTTGGCAAGTCGGCGAGTAAATTGTCCTTTATTGTATTCGAGGAGAGAATATAGTGGCAGCTGCAGAAGGTTAGGCAGGAGTAAAATTCTATGTAGAATATTTGCCCTTTGTGCCTCCCTCCTCTAAGCTACTGATTGTAGCATTACCGTAGCCATGCCTGTGAAGTGCCCCCTGTACACTAGCAGGTGTAGCTACCAGCTGTAGTTACAGCCAGGAGTGTAGCTACGACGAACTGTAGCTACCAGCTGTGGCTATCAGCTTGTAGCAGGACGGGTATCTCAGCTGTAGTTACAGCCAGCAGTAGCTACGACAAACTGTAGCTACCAGCTGTGGCTATCAGCTTGTAGCTACCAGCTGTGGCTATCAGCTTGTAGCTACCACAGCTGTGGCTATCAGCTTGTAGCTACCAGCTGTGGCTATCAGCTTGTAGCAGGACGG